AGGAGAATTGCCTGAACCCAGGAGGCGGAGGTTGCAGTGAGCCGAGATCGCGCCATTGCACTCCAGCCTGGGTAACAAGAGCGAAACTCCGTCTCAAAAAATAAATAAATAAATAAAAAATAAAGCCTATAAGATAAAGTCCAACTACCTTAGCAAAGCACACAGGGCTATCAAAAATTAAATCTTACCCTGGGGCCTAGCACGTAACAGATTGCTCCATAAAGGCTAGGTCAACAAATGAATTTATCTCTGGCTTAGGAAAGAATGAAGCCATAAGAACATTAGAGCAAACCTCTTAGTTCACCTCACAGAATGGGCCGCCCTCGAAAAACCCTAAATCAGTTCCAAACCACATCAGTGTCATACTCAAATGAATTAAGTTCATTTTTCTTACTCTCTTTTTTTGTTAATATAGAATGCTTCATGAATTTGTCTGTCATCCTTGTGCAGGGACCATGCTAATCTTCTCTGTATCATTCCAATTTTAGTGTATGTGCTGTTGAAGTGAGCACTTAAGTTCATTTTTCATGGTGTCATTCTTAAATTGAGACAGACTAGTTTAATCCATGACTCATTATTTGGCCCCAAATCTTCAGGCTTGGTTTAATTTAGTGGAGTTACATTTGGTCCTGGCACATTTGAGTCAAAGCAGAGAGAATGGAGGATCTTGTTTCACTTACATCAGAAGACAACTGTGTTTGAGTAGCAGTTAATTCTGCTGCTTCCTCACAGAAGAAAACAGGAAGATCCCTGCCTACTACTTCTTCCCACAAACTCACACTATTTTCAAGTAACTTGGGAAGTAAGCCTTTTCTCCCCCAACCACTAACCTTTATGTTGAAGGTGACCACAGTGCCATTTGCCAGTCCCGCATAGAGGATTCGCCATCTACTGTGGAGGCAGAGGACCCGATCTTCCAGCTGTAACTGCTCGGCACACTCTCGGTTCTGATAAAAGCACACAACATTTAATCAGCAGAGGGTACTGGCCAATGAGATGTCAAAAACAATTCCTCCATAAAGCAGACTTTAAAATGATTCTTGGACAGAAGAAAATGTGGCATCCTCTACTTTGCAGGGGACTAACTTAGATCTGTTTCCCCTTTGAAATATGACGCCAAAGACATCCAAGCTGTAGGTAATAAGAAAATAAACACAAATTCTAGTAATATTACCCAAGTTTCTAACTTAGAATATACAAATTATTCAAAGGGCACTATAGTTGGGTCTTAGTCTCTTAAATTAAGAAGCTAAATATAAAGGACAAAGCTGTGTTTTGACATCTAAAAAGGAAAATCAGGATTACAGTCACATATTTGATAAGTGCATTAATCAAATATGTGGTTTTCTGCAACTGATTCTATATTTCAATAGCTCCGAAATGCCTCCTTCAAACTGGTGCCTGGTTAGCTGGGGTAAATACTCAAGAAGATGTTAAAATATATAGAACCTAAGCTCCAACCCCATCCCTGAGACTTATTTAGTAGGCTCTAGAATCTGTGTTTTAAAAAATTTCCCTAGTAATTCAGATGTACTTGCAGGTTTAATACCCACTGTTGGATCTGACCTTCAAGAAACGATTTCTACCAATTTCCTCCAACTAGATTATATTAGCAAATAAATCTCTTTACCTAGAACCAAGAATTGGGCCAGGAAATAGTAAATTCAAAATGTGTTGTTGAATGCTACTAAAGACCCAAGTGTAGCTTTTTAAGTGGGCTAGAGCAGATGTTAAAATCAACATGGTTATAATTAAGTAGGATAGGGCCGGGCGCGGTGGCTCAAGCCTGTAATCCCAGCACTTTGGGAGGCTGAGGCGGGTGGATCACCAGGTCAAGAGATCGAGACCATCCTGGTCAACATGGTGAAACCCCGTCTCTACTAAAAATACAAAAAATTAGCTGGGCATGGTGGTGCGTGCCTGTAATCCCAGCGACTCAGGAGGCTGAGGCAGGAGAATTGCCTGAACCCAGGAGGCGGAGGTTGCGGTGAGCCAAGATCGCGCCATTGCACTCCAGCCTGGGTAACATGAGTGAAACTCCGTCTCAGAAAAAAAAAAATAATAATAATTAAGTAGGATAGGACAAGCTATGGAAAGTATGAGAGAAGCTGTAGGTTGTGAAATCCTTTGATCTCCTCTCCCAACCTTCTTTCATACCTAAAAGTCAGTCACTTATTCAATTTCTCCCCCCAAAAAATTACAAACATAAATGCCATATATAAAATTGTAAGATACAGCAAAAGACAGTAAATATGTCTAACTATTAAGATTCATGTTGCTTCTCATTAACCCACATGAGCTCTTTTGTAACTTTATAGGGGAAATTGAACATTACATAGTAATAAAAAAAGAACAAACTACTGGCACATGTACCAATCCAGATGAGTTTTCAAACATTATGGTAAGCTAAGGCTAGACATGAAAAAATACATGTGGTGTAGTTATACTGATATGACAGCCAAGCACAGACAAAAGTAACCTATGAGGGTAGTAAAAATGAGGATTAGCTTTAGAAAAAGGTATGCCTAGGGAGGCATTTGAGGGAAGCTTCAGGGGTATGAAATGGCCTATTTTTTGATCCTGGTGGTAGTTATAAAAAATTTATCTACAGAAAAATTCATTAAGCTATATACTTAAAATCTGTGTGCTTTACTGTATGAAGTTATGTCTCATTGTCAAAAAATGATTAGAAAATCTTTTTCACTAGTGTACAGTCCTGCTATGCCAAACACTACACGTTAGAACCCTAAATACTGCAAAGTCTTTCAAAAATTTTTTTGCTAATATCATGAGTAAAAATAGTATTCCTTGTACTTCGGTTTTGATTTGCATTTATTTGCAAGATTGTATTATTTTCAGTTATTTGTATTTCTTCTTTTTAAGAGACTTGTTTGTTTTTTGCCAATGTAGGTTTAGGGATTTGTTTGTTTTTTGAAAGACAAGGTCTAGCTCTGTCTCCTGGCTGGAGTGCAGTGGTATGATTACTGATCACTGTAGCCTTGACCTTCGAGGTTCACTGAGTCCTCCCACCTCAGCCTCCCGAGTAGCTGGGACTACAGGTGTGGGCCACCATGCATGCCTAGTTAATTTTTGGGTTTTTTTTTGAGAGATGAGATCTCACCATGTTGCCTAAGCTGATCTTAAACTACTTGGCTCAAGCAATCGTTCCACTTCAGCCTCCTAAAGTGTTAGGATTATAGGCATGAACCATTGCACCTGGCTATAGGAATTTAAAGGGGTAAGCCTCTTACAACATACACCAAACCTATGTTTGTCCTATCTTAAGTTACAGCTTTTTCCCGTTTTTATATAAGACTATTTCTATCAAAATATGCTTACAATTTCTATTAAAAGTCTGTATAATTTTTTTACAGGTTTTGAGTTACCCAGGTTAGTCTTGAACTCCTGGGCTCAAATGATTCTCCTACCTCAACCTCCCAAAGCACTGGGATTACAGGTATGAGCCACGGTACCCAGCCTCTTTTTCTAGTTTCTTGGATTTTAAAGCTTTCTTCTTTTCTAACAGAAGCATTAACTACAAATTTCCCTTTCAGCAATAATAGGATGCATTTTCTTTTTCTTTTTCTTTTTTTTTTTTAGACAGAGTCTTGTTCTGTCACCCAAGCTGGAAGTGCAGTGGTATGATTTCTGCTCACTGCAACCTCTGCCTTCCGGGTTCAAGCAATACTTCTGCCTCACCCTCGCAAGTAGCTGGGAATACAGGCACATGCCACCACGCCAAGCTAATTTTTGCATTTTTAGTAGAGGGGTTTCACCATGTTGGCCAGGATGGTCTCAATCTCTTGACCTCATGACCCACCCACCTCAGCCTCCCAAACAGCTGGGATTACAGGCATGAGCCACCGTGCCTGGCATATGCTGCATTTTCATTTAGTTAGATATTTTCTAATTTCCCATGTGATTCCTTCTTTGAACCACAATAATTTAGAAGCATGTTATTTCATCTCCCTATATTTGGGGATTTCCTAGATTTCTGTTACTGCTTTCTAATAAATGTCATTGTGATTAGAGAACACACTCTGTATAATTTGGGTCATTTTAAATTGAGACATTTAATAGCCCAGCATGTAGTCCTGGTGAATGTTCTATGTGCACATTCTTGAAAAATCTGTGTATTCTGCAATTTTGAGTGGAATGTTGCATAAATGTTAATTAGATCTTGTTCATTAATGGTGTTGTACAGTTCCTTTTTTTTTTTTTTTTTTTAATGAAGTCTTTCTCTGTTGCCCAGGCTGGAGTACAGTGGCGCAACCTCAGTTCACTGTGACCTACACCTCCCAGGTTCAAGCAATTCTCTTGCCTCAGCTTCCTGAGTATTTGGGATTACAGGCACACACCACCAGGCCCTGCTAATTTTTTTGTATTTGTATTTTTATTTTTGTATTTATTTATTTTTTGAGATGGAATTTTGCTTTGTTGCCCAGGCTGAAGTGCAGTGGTGCAATCTCAGCTCACTGCAACCTCCACTTCCTGAGTTCAAGCAATTCTCCTGCCTCAGCCTCCCAAGTTGCTGGGACTACAAGCACACACACCATGCCCAGCTAATTTCTGTCTTTCTAGTAAAGACGGGGTATCACCATGTTGGCTGGTCTGGTCTCAAGCTCCCGACCTCAGGTGATACACCTGTCTTGGCCTCTCAAAGTGCTGGGATTACAGACATAAGCCACTGCATCCAGGCTAATTTTTTTTTTTGTATTTTTAGTATAGACAGCTTTTCCCCATATTGGCCACGCTAGTCTCAAACTCCTGACCTCAAGTGATCCACCTGCCTCAACCTTCCAAAGCGCTGCGATTACAGATGTGAGCCACCGCACTTGGCCGATGTTGTACAGTTCTTGTATATCTTTGATGGTTTCCTATTTAGTAGTCTATCAACTATTGAGGGTTGTTGATGTCCCTGACTATAATTGTGAATTTGTCTATTTCTCCTTTCAGTTCTATCAGTTTTTGTTTCATGTATTTTAAAGCTCTGTTATTAGGTACCTGTATTTATAACTGTATCTTTCTGCTGTACTGACTCTTTCATCATTATGAAATTTCCTCCTTTCTCCAGTAGTATTCCTTGTCTTTTTTTCATTTTTTAAAGAGACAATGTCTCACTCTGTCACCCAGGCTGGAATGCCGTGGCATTGTCATAGCTCACTGTAACCTCAAATTCTTCTGCTCAAATGATCCTCCCACCTCACCCTCCCAAGTAGCTAGGACTATAGCTACACAACACCATGCTTGCCTCATTTTTAAATTTTTTGTGGAGACTGTCTCACTATGTTACCCAGGCTGGTCTGGAACTTCTGGTCTCAAGCGATCCTCCCACCTCAGCCTCCCAAAGTGGGATACAGGCATAAGCCACAGTGCCTGGTCACTTGTCTTAAAATCTATTTGCCCAATATTAACATAACCACTCCAGCTTTGTTGCTGTTGCATAGTATATCTTCTTCTATTCTTACTCTTTTACTTTCAGCCTATTGTGTCTTCACATTTAATGTGTATCTCAGCCAGGCGCAGTGGCTCAGGCCTGTAAACCCAGCACTTTGGGAGGTTGAGGTGGGTAGACTGCCTGAGCTCAGGAGTTCAAGACCAGCCTGAGCAACACGGTGAAACCTTTGTCTCTATTAAATAAATACAAAAAATTAGCCGGGTGTGGCAGCATGAGCCTGTATTCACAGCTACTCAGGAGGCTGAGGCAGGAGAATTGCTAGGATCTGGGAGGCAGAGGTTGCAATGAGCCAAGATCATGCCACTGCACTCCAGCCTGGGTAACAGAGTAAGATTTGGCTGGGGATGTGGTGCATGCCTATAATCCCAGCACTGTGGGAGAGCAAAGCAGAAGGACTGCTTGTGTTCAAGAGCTTGAGACCAGCCTAGGCAACATAATGAGATCCTGTTTCTAAAAAAACAATTTTTTAAATTAGCAAAGCATACTGACATGTGCCTGTAATCCCAATTGTTCAGGAGGCTGAGGCGGAAGGATCACTTGGGCCCACGAGTTTGAAGCTGCAGTGAATTACGATCAATCACTACACTCTAGCCAGGGTGTTAGGCCAAGATCATGTCTCAAAAATAAAAGTATGTCTCTTGTAGACAACAAAGATTTTGATGTTACTTCTGTATCCAACCAATTTCTGCATTTTGATTTTAGTGTCAGTTCATTCACATTTAATATAATTATTAAATATGGTTAAGTTTAGGTCTCCAATTTGCTATTTGCTTTCTATTTGTCTAATTTTTATTCCTCTATTTCTCCTTCTACCTTCTCTTGTATTAAAGTACATTTTTAGCATGTCATTTTAATTCCTCAATTGACTTTCTAAGCTCAATTTCTTTGCATTGTTCTTTCAGTAATTACTCTAGTGCACTATTTTCTCGAAGTGTGGTCTTCAAACCATCTACATCAGTATCACATAATAACTTAGTA